TAAAGTATTAAATTTCTGTCCCAAGTAGAGGTTTGATGAACTTGGGATGAATTACTGCGGTTGGATCTGCAGAAAAAGGGGCTCCAAAGTGAGACGGTGGAATTCAAGAAAACTTCACTTGAGTCATGAATCCATGGAGAACCAAAATATCTGTTTGATTTTATTCAGGAAGTTTCATTTTATTTGTTTTTTTTCTGCATGATCATTTACTTACATACAAAACAGTGTATTTTTATTGACGAAATGCACTGATTTAATTATCTGGTTCAAGGCAACATGCATTAAACTGTCTATTACAATTATGCTAAATTGCTTTAGATGTTTTATCTAATGTGAACTTCCTGTCACATATGGTTTAGGTTTTCAGAAGATCTCGACCTAAAGTAGCCCCTCAGACTTAGAGTTCTTAGAGCTCTGCATGTATTTACTGCAAACTGTTTATTTATAATTCCAGTGCCTAAATAAAAGCTAATAGAGATTTTTTTTGCCATTACCCAGATTTTTTAACCATCAATAACCAGGGATTTCTTTCTCTGAACTAGTGTGATTTCCCTTATCTGGCTTGACGCTAATACAGTCATAGTCTCGTCGGCATAGATAGGGTTGCATAGTAAGGCATTGGTAGGCAGCAGCGTGGCCATAAACCTGTCACATTGTAATCCCTGTATTATATAAAGCCGTGAAAGACTATACGTTTATTTCATTCACCTTGAATTTCGCACAAGCTAATTTTTAAGAAACCCAATTTATATGAACAGCTATTTATTTATTCATGCATATTTTTATTAGCATTTGCATCCAAATACATTTAAAAGATTTGACCTAGGAGCCATGGCTTCTGTTTTACTGACTGTTCAATTCATTTCAATTCAGTTTATTTATATATCACCAAAACATGTCATCTCAAGGCACTTTACAGTTCTCCAGATCATAAAGTCAAATTGATTCAAAGTTTTCTATCTAGGAAAACCAGTTGATTACATTGACTCGAAGGCAATCCCTCACACTAAGCTTGTAGTGACTGTGGAGAGGAAAAACTCCCTTTTAACAGGAACAAACCTCCAGCAGAACCAGGCTCATTGTGAGCGGCCATCTGCCGAGGCCGACTGGGGTTCAAGGAGACAGAAGCGGAGATACAAAAGGCAACTGTAAAAGGCGGCACCGTCCAGGAAACACACAGCCAGGCAGACGAGCTCGGAACCAGCTCCCATGTCAGAGGATGAGCCAGTCACAGAGACACAGGACTACACTGAAAAAGAGGCTCATCTGCAACATCTATAAACAGAGGTGTTAATGGCAGCAGCGCAGCTGATAATGTACTTCTCTCCAGGATGGAGTCACAGCCAAACAGGAACAGACGAGGCAAAGCTACTAAGAGAAAAAGCAGAGAGAGAATAACGTTAGAGCTTGAACTAATAGATTCTGTAGAGTGGGAGAATAGAGATAGAATGAAGCAGAAAGATGAAAAAGGAACCCCTGTGTCCTCCAGAACTCTAAGGCTATAGCAGCATAACTATAGAGATAACTCAGGATAACCTGAGCCACTCTAACTATAAGTTTTATCAAAAAGGAAAGTTTTAAGCCTTGCCTTAAAAGTAGACAAGGTGTCTGCCTCACGGACTAAAACTGGAAGTTGGTTCCACAGGAGAGGAGCTTGATGACTAAAATATCTGCCTTCCATTCTACTTTTAGAAATTCTAGGAACCACTAGTAAACCTGCAGTTTGAGAGCAAAGTGCTCTGTTAGGAACTGTTCTGTTCTTTGTTTGGAGCTAATATGCTATAAATATAGTGAAATTTGCTAAATTAGAACAAGCGCTCAAGTGAATCCTAAGTACCTTTATAAGAACTGTAACCTTAAAAAATTTTTACTCTTATCGAGCCAATAGGTTTCTATATTAGTAATGCTGGGTTTTATTGTTCTGCCATATTGTTATCTTAAATTTTTGTTGTTATTTTGTTCTAGACTGTTACTGAACTTACTGACTCGTTGCAAACAGCTTGATCAGTTTATGTCAGGATCTTGGTGCTGATGTCTGGTCTGATTACTAATTTCCTTCACCTGCTTATCTCACCAAGGTTCTCATTACCAATCATCTGATCCACCTGTCTCAGCCTCTTTTTAACCAACCCTCAAACCAGTCATCAGTGCCAGATTATTCAAGCCTTTGTTGAGAGTTCTTTGTGTTCCTGATTGCATGATCTATTTGTTCTGTCTCTGGACCTCTAAGCCTGCCTGTCCCCGTTCTGATCTGTTTGCCTGACCCTGCTGGATTTCTGCGATTTCTGTTGACCGAACATGGAACTGTGTCTTGACACTCTTCTGAATTTCCCTTTGGCACCTCTCCAGATCTCTGATATCTTGGCTCTGACTACTGAGTATGTCTTCGACAGCTTTGGCTTTGTCCTCTGGATAATACTGCCTTCCTTCATCTGCTCGGTTCGGATCTCCTGCCTGTACTCCGACCTCTGGGACTAAAGTGTCTACAGTAGGACTCTCTGGGTGGCGCCCGTTGCTTCTTGTTGGCAGCCTACCGGCTAGAACCAACTTCATCCTCTGGGCTTGGACTGAACTGTAAGACCAGGTTAGAGACTCACACATTCATTATCATCCATCACCAGATAGACCTTGTCACTAACCTGTGTTCTCCTCCTACAAAGGTTCCCGCCTTAGACGACGACGCTTTTCTCTGCGGTTCCGTCTTAAATAAGCGTTTTGTTAAATCTGTCTTTCCGCATCAAACACTGGGTCCTTTCGTCCTGAGCCGGATAGTTTGTACTTTTCATCTGAATTTACAATTTTTGTACTGCCATTCATTTAACTAGTTGCATGTAAGCAAACTTACTAAAATTATCACTTGTTTTCTTGATTTAACTAGTGTCACTGTTGGGAAATAGTGTTTATTATGTAGCTAACTGATGTCTTCTTGTCTTTGTATGAACAAAAATTAACATAATAATGTTTATTTTTAACCTCAGATGCTGTCTAGCTATACTTGTTAAAATAAAGGAAGCTTTAATTGTGCATTTGTTATGGCAGTTTTCTTTTATAATGATTGCATTAGTCACTGACTTAAAGTGGAAAGTGCAGTTTTGTTTTACATCTTTCATTCCCTATTCATTTCATTACAAATATTTAGCAACATTTTTTTTTTTCTAATTCAACCATTTGTGTGAATCTGTCTGGAGTCAGTATTGAATATTAAAGCTACAGTATGTAATAATTACAGGGATATACAGTCAGAAATGTAATACATTATACATAACTATGTTATGTATAAACTATGCTCAGCCTCTTAACCTTAATATTTGCGTTGCCTTAGAATTCGTTATTTATAATTACATAGGAGCGGGTCTCGCAGCCATGGAGGCAGACATCTTTGCGGTACGGCAGCGCAGAGCCAACAAACTAGCGATTGCGAGATCGCCCATTACGCTCGAAAGTAACTACGGCAAGTTGAGAGAGATGAACTGAGACGGTACTGAACACACAGACTAATGAAATACTATCTGTAAAATTATCTATGTAAACAAACCTCATCACTTAAGAAGGTAGGTGATGCGGACGTCGTGGAAGACATTTTGTCCCGTAATGCTCGCCATACTGTTGGGGGGGAGAAGCGGTGGGGGGGAGATGTTCATGTTGCTGCGGCCTGCAGTCTGGACGTTAGATGTCGTTGAAAATTACACACTGTAGCTTTAAGTTTATAATATAGCCAGAAGCCTCTTTTTTTCATTTTTTAATCAAGACACAAAGCATTTTACTGCTAATGTCTAACTCTCTTGCCATCACTTTATTGTCATTTTAGATGCAATTCAACCGTTTTTCCAAACCATGTTTTGTTTTTCAAACTACCTCTCAAACCTGTAGCAAATGTTAGGAATAATTATCATCCTTCATGAGAAGGCTTATTGAACCTTAAGATACCTACTTTGTTATTGTTCTTACCCCTAGTAAGCCTATGATCCTATGAGGTAAACATTGTCATGTTGTGTTTAAAATTCTGCAAGAGTAACATTAGTTAAAGCACCAATTCCTTTTTGTAAGAATAAAAGTAGTTGTCTTTACTGTGTAAGTCACAACACTGTGGCAGTAAGAGCAGCAGGCCACTTAAAGCATGGACTGGACATTAAATAATGACAAACCCTATCAGAGAGTTGAGGGACATATTACTGAAGGGTGAGAACAAACAGGAAATGTTTTTCTGTGCACAATGCTTTTGAAGCTGACGACAACAATGAGCCACAGCTTTGTAAATCTCACCAAACCATTTTGCTGCTAAACTCCAATTAAATAATGTTAAAGTTGTAATCTGTTTAACAAGAACGGTTATTTAAAGAGTGATTACTACAGGCAAAAAGAACTGGGAATAAGCCTTGAGGCGTAAGCACCTTCTGGGGGCAGCAGTGTACATAACGAAAACAAGCTTATTCAAGCTTTACTCCTTGAACTCTGTTATTTGTAATCTGTTATAACCAATTAGATTTAGTTTTATTAAAATAATGCAAGTAATCAAACCAGCTTATTTTAGGCAGCTATTTAAATTTATTGACAAGAGAGAGTTTGGTCTTATATACAATTAGGATCCTGCAGATATACATCTAGAGTAGGAAAACTGTATCATCAACCTTTTAAAACCTTTTTTCAGACAAACTAAAACCATCTAGTCGATAATTACTAATGGAGCTAATGGTTGTTAGGCTCCAAATAGTAAAAAAGAACTACAGTTAGCCCAGCCACATGCTGTATATCCAATATATTTAAATACTTTAGATTAATTTTTAATCAGATAAGACTGATTGAATTCTGATGAAATAAAATAAATAAAAATGAACATTCTCTTTGCATTTTTATAGAAAAAAAATCATTATTTGGTCAAGTTTATTTTGTTTCTACACCTTATGGCGCCTCTTCTGCACAGAAAGTCAGTTTTTGTATTTTTTTTTGTGTGGAGAAAATGAGTTTTGGGTGTTAATTTAGGGACGGGATTGAGACTTCGTTTTATCTGCGCTGTATTCAACCCTCAGACAAAAACATCCAGAGCAGATAAAGCATCAACATCTGGGGGCTCTAAAGAACACTTTCCAGTTTTCCCCACCAGGTTAACTGGTCTACAAACACGGTGGGTGTAATGGTGTTAATTTAATTTTTTTTTTTTTACAGTGAAATTCCCATTCATTCATCCTGATGCGCAGTCAGGACGACCAGCCTTGCATGTAGCGCCGCTTGTGAACGTCTCCTCCCCTGTTTCTGCAGTGTTACTGCCTTTTTTTCTCGCTCATCGCTCCTTGTGCCAACCCTGCCCACACCGCAACAGTAAGACAAGCTTTCTATTTGCATCGCACCACAACTCCTTCCCTCTGTCTGCCACCATCACTCCGCTTGATGCATCTTGTCCTGCTCCGTGTGGTCTGCGTCCTCTCGATTCTTCTCCATCCATTCACGCCTACTCTGTGCGGTCCTTGGTTCTCCTTTGCGTTATCCAGCTCAGACAGAAGCGCGAAGGGTTTCCCCCCCACACCGATTATTTTTTCCGGATTTTAAAAGGAAAATATGTGTTCCTTTATTTCTTCTTTTTTTAACTAAACTGAATAATTTGAAGAACATCTTTCATATTCTAGCAGAGTGAAAGAGGATAGAGCCAGGAATTTATTTTATTATTTTTACGCACCAACCATCGCACGTAGTGTGGAAGAAAAAGACTGAATTTGTGAATTTAGGAATGAAAATTAAACATTTAGCTTCAGGCTAGGTTTAATAATGGTGATGAAGAAAGCAAATAAATGGGAAGAAGTGATCTGACTGCCTTAAGTTTGCTGAGGTAGGGTAACTGTCAGGAAAATATCGAGGAAACAGAGTGGGAAGCGACGCGTCATTACCAAGACAGCAGCGCAACAAGCCAGGAGCGTTAGACCAGACCGCTCTGTGGATGGCACACAGGCTGTCTTTCCTTTCAGCGCTGGGGTGGTGCGGATTGGACACAGTGCGACCAGGATCCAGCTGGCTTTCTGGGCTTTCTGTGAGTATCCGTGCCACATCTGTGCGCACCGATCGGACCGCTCTGTTTGGCTTCTGGGGAGATCATCGTCTTGTCTCTGCCTCCAATCTAACTGTTGTAGATCTCTGTTGTCACTTCGCATTTTTACCCGTCGTTAATGTGCAATTAATGGTTTTTATATTTTTGTGTTTTTATTTTCTTTTAAATCTGTTGGATGAATTTAAGTTTTTAAATAATCACAATAAAACTCCATAAGAAACATCTGATCAATACACAAGCGTTGTGCAACATTCCCTACAATTTGTTAATTACAGATGAATTGTGTTTCCACAGAGCAGCATGAGGGAGAAGTTTATCTCCTGAGGCAACAACTTCTACACAGGGCTGACTCGCTGACAACTGCATCCAGGTGAGTAATGTAGTAATAAAATGGAATATAATACAACGAAATAAAGCAAATCTCTACATGGAACTGTTTTTTTTTTTCTTTTTTTCACCCTCCTTTTTTCTATCATTGCCCCTGTTATCAAAAGCCAGTGGAGAATGTTTCCTGAAACTGCATTTCATTTTCCTTTGACTGCGCGGTTCGGGAATTCCTGTACAGATGCCGATAATTGCATTAGCACCCCCTGGTAACAAACAAATCCATCTTTTATTCCAGCTTTGCAGTTGGAAAATTGGAGAATTTGGAACGCCCTGTTTCTTTTTTACTTTGGGAAATGTATTCAGCTGGGTAGAATATCATGAATATCACATCAATATCTGTGTTTATCCTCTAGTTAGTCTGTAGTATTTTATCCTTTGCTCTTCTCAATGTTATTTATAGAATGTAGCTCTGGGGACTCTGATGGTCACAACAAATGGTTGTGTGGGTAAACAAAAACACCATTTAAGTTATTATTTGACCATTTGTTTTGAAGTAATGTTTTACCAAAGAATTGAAAAGTGATTTTTTTTTTTTTTTTTTGAGGTGGGGGGTCTAATTCAACCTGGAGAGACTCGTTCAGAGAAAATTTGCAATTAGAAAAGCTTTATTGACATTAAGGCAATAAGTTATTTGGTGCTTGGTCCCCAGACACTGGTGGTAGGAGAAGCCAAAAGCTGAGTGGGACTGAAAACAGTCTGAGGATGAGGGAGGAGATGAGTGAAAGATTGCTGGCATTTTAGAGGGCGGTTAGGCAGCTAGATGAAGGGGATCTTGAAGGATGATTGGCTTCGGAGAAGGCACGGTCCCGGCATTGATTGGCTGAAGTCTGAGCAAGGGACATCACGGGTGGTCCAGGTGAAGCTGATAAGAGTCTTCCAGATTGAATTTTCAGTTACGCTTCATGTGTTTCTCATATAACAGGTTTTACTGCACCATGCAGCCTAACAAAGTTTCACAACATTTGGAAGAGAAACAATCCCGAAGCATCACAGGTCCTACACCACACCTAACAGTGTGATACTTTACTTCAGATCCACAAAGAGGATTTGTTGCTTAAAAGCTTGATCAAAATCTAATCTGACTGAAGCACACAGGTATTAAAATCTCAGTATCTGAAAAAAAGAGTTCAGATACTGCTCAAATCAAATCAAATTCAACTTAGATTTTATTTTTTTTTATTTTCAAACAGATCAATTTACCAAGTAGCCTTGATGAATCTGTTTAATATGCATTTAAAAACCACAAAAATAGAAAACAAACAGTTACTACCTATCCTGATGAATTATGGTCTCAATTTAATGCTTTATGTATTTTTTTAAGTATGACATGATATTTGTAAGGCTATATTTTTTTTTAATTTTAAGTTTTTTTTTTATAAATGGCTTAATAGTTGCCTTCAAGTTTGGACATGGACATGCAACATTTGCAAGACTTTTCACGGTTGTTGTTTTTTTTAAGTCTCTTCTAGCTAAATGTGTCAGGTTGGGTTAAGATTTGAAGAGGACCCAAATGTAGAGACTGAAGCTGAAATGGTTTCTTGCAGATTTAATAACAAAAAGGGTAACAGAAGCAAAAATCCACAAACATAATCCACAAAATCCAAAAATACTGAAAACCAAGAATACTCACAACAAGGGCAAATAAATGACGATGAACCAGCAGTGACTGAGCAGGTCGGTGTAAATAAGAGAGACAGAAACAAAGACCAGACTAATCAGCAGATTGGGAGAAGGTGTGGGCAGATGAAGCTAGGGGAAGAAAGAGTGAAACAAGAGGGCAACAGAGGGCAAGCAAGAAATATCTAAGAACACAAATACAATTAAAAATAACTAGAATAACACAAAATGGAAATAAAACCAATGAAAACTCAAAGATAAAACTTAAACAGAACCAAAACCATGACAAAATTTTACTCAGCATAAAATTTGTTTTGTTATTTTGTTTATAGTTTGTAAGCTGTTAGGTTTTCCTTTGATCGTTTATATGGATCTTTAGGTTCTGTGTAGATCAAGTTTCCACTGCATTGTTCCCCATTAAATGGGGCTTTCCTGAAGCACAGAAGATGCACATTTTCCAGTAAAATAGGTTCTGCAGCACATCCGACTTCCATATTTCTGATGTCAGGAGAGAAATCTGTTTTCTATTATCCCTCCTAGACAACAAGTTTGCATCTGGACGGTATCTGCTGATTGATAGAGAAATGAATCCAAGATGTCACTCTATGCAGCTCTAAGCTTGGGTCAAAACATTTACTTCATTTAAAAACTTTTAACACATCTCTACCTGGGGTTCACACCTGTAGATGTTTTATAAATCTTGTAACGGCTATTTTGTTTTTCTTCTTTTTGTTACTAGTGACTTCCTTTTCCCTGAATAGCAGAGATGACATTTAGGAAAACCGTCAATTCTTACTGTGACTCAATACAAACACACATGTACTCAAATAGACTCTAAACAGCAGCCTGCAGGCATCAACATGACTCATTATGCACAAGCGTTTTATTTGCTGACCTTTGAACCTCTGCTTGGCAGATTGGAAAAATGTTCAAGGATGAAATAATCACTGTTTAACCTGGGTTCTATTTGTTTTTAATCAAACTGTTATTTTAAAAGCTGAAATTAATATTTTTTTAATGAGATCTTTCTGTCATATCCTGTGGATTCACCAATACTTTTAACCATGATGTAAATCCTGGTTTTCCATAGAGCTGGGATTCAAATTGGCATTTGGTATTTCTTTGTTAGAATCAACAAAATGCAAGAAGGACTGCGTTTTTTATTACATGCAATTGTGTTGACTTGAGAAAAATCCAGTAAAACAAGAAACAAGCTTGAATTATCTCTTGCTCTGGGGGATTTTGTGAGGAGCATTGTTGGAACACATAGACTCTCTCTGCCTCGGTACTGGAGTCAAAAGAAGTGTTTCATTTCAGCATCACTACCAGTTGGAAAGCTTGCTTTTGCCATAGAAACGTCACCCACTCACACATTTGTGAAGGCTTGTGTGCCAGCTGAAAGAGGTTGCATTTGATTTTATGCATCTGCAGCTCATTTTAAGTGACTGGAGAAATTTTACAGTTTTTTTGCTTTGCAACCTCTGTCCATGGTGCTGAATCCATTCCTTTTGACATTCCCTGATAAGTAGATAGACATTGTTAAGCTGTTGCACGAAGATGCACAAATGCAGCTGTTTGGCTTTTGTTGTTTCTGTTTTTTATGCATTGCAACCAAAAAAGATCTCTATTTGTGCATCTGTGTTTGTCTTTGTCCCACCTGAGAAATGAAATCTTGAAGGGAAACATGCTCTCCTGTTAGTCAGGTCAGAGTGCAGGATGCTGCTATCCTCTGCTGCATGCCAATGAGAGCCTGTCTCTACATAAAGCAATGTGCATCTTCTCTGCTGTTGATAGAAAAACCTATTTTGGGATGGAGATGGCCCTAAATCTTTGATTAGGAGGCGGCGGGTTAAATTAATTGACATTTCTTCGGCTGTTTCTCACTGCTCACACCGCTGCAGATGTTAATTCCCTGGGTAGTATTGACGCCGTAGCCTGAATTGTTCACTCAAAGCTGTTAGAGCCTGCCAAGAAAGCCACTGTAGGATTATTTTAAGGTCTCCCCTGATATTGGTTATTTAAAGCACATAACCAGAGGTGTTTACTACGCTTTAGCATTAAGCTGTCCTTTTCATGCAGTTTTCAAGAGCTGCAGGGATTGTTTTCCTTTTAAATAATAATGTATAAGCTTGTCCAGGGACCAAACCTCTTTTCTTGTTTTCTCTTAATACCAAGAAGGATTATTTCGGGATTCTTATCTAACTGTGGAGTGTGCAGTGGACTTAGTCACTTTCCCCCTTGATACTACATGTGCAGGTTTTAACATTTTTGCAGCTTCTCTGCACACAATGGCTACATTATATGTGTAGGAGTCTAACTGGATTGCTCAAAAGCAGTGAGTCAACCTTCAGTAGGTGCCAAAGTTTTTGCCTCCCTGTGCCTGGACCCAGCAAACTGTTGGATCTCATATGATTTTCATATAAAAAGCATGACTCGGATTGCTTTAATAATGGGGAACTTTACTATGCAGCGGTAATCCTAGAACTAAAAGAAAACATTCAGTTTAATTGTCATTCTACACCTGCAAATTCTTCCACATTATTTTTATTTTGTGTAGAGGGTTGTGGTTCTCTGCATGAGCTGCAGAGATCCACAACAATGTTGGAGGACTTTTTCAGAACTATTAACTATGCAATTCCCACAGATTCTCTATATGAGACAGTTGCAAGAAGAGAAAGTAAATACACTGCTATGAAGTTAAATTTAAACTATGCAACCACTCATGTAGAAACCAGACATGTAGGAAATGGTGATCTGGACAGACCAACATTTTTCTATCTAAGATGGAAAATTGTATTTCTGGCAGAAAAATAACAGCACGTGGGTGAAGCTAATATCATGACAGCTCTGGAAGAAAAAAATGAATAAACTAAAGACTACAAAAGATTTGATACTGAATTTGGGCTTCAGCTTTCAACTGAAAAACAATAAGAAATACAGAGCCTGAGCTACAATGAATCAAAGCATGATTAGCATGGCCAAGTCACAGTCTACACCTACATCTAATTAAAACACAGGGACTCAAGGACTGGATTTATTTCAGCCAAACTACAATGATTTACCATTCTCCTTTTAGGCCACATTAACTACTCTGTTTGGCTGTAACATAAAATATACCTCAAGAGCTGATATCCAAAGAAGGGGAAAATGTACATATTAAATTGAGCAGGAAGCACTTCCAAACCTATTTTTGCGTTCATGGCTTCATTGATATGTGAATCATATTCTAATAATCCAACTGAAACAAATCTGAAACTTAACAACAATTTTGGTATTTGGTAAAAAGAAACTGCTTATCAAATGTAAATGAATTGTTTCAATTGATCTCAGGTAATTGAAGTAAGTTTGCCCAAATAAATTTATATCTTATACTTATAAACTTGAAAACATACGTTTGATCAACTGGATTCAATTACTTGTCATCAATTGAAACAATTCATTTAATTGGATCAGTGTAGAACAATGACAGTTGATGGAGAGAGATTATCCGTGCATGTAAACATATTTATCAGAAATAACAAGAAATAGAATAGACCAACAGAAATTAATTCATCTGGATGGGAGGCAATCATTACACAATTAAACCAAAGCAAAAAAAATGACAGAATCGTGACACTACTATGACATGAAAAATAGTCAAATATTTCCAGTCACCAGAGAACATCCGTACAGTAGAGCTGAGTCTTGTTTTATTGAATTATCATGGGCCTACATTGTTTTGCAGTATATTACATCAGCCAGCCGTTGAGATGAGCTGTTGGAGATCAAATTTAGGAGTTTAGAGCCTAATCTGCTTTAAATATGACTGTGACTGCTTCTCTGTTGGGGGGTGATGGTAGAGGCAATAAACAGACAAAGACAACTTTCCCATACTTTTTTTTTTTTTTAACATTTTTTTTGTATTTTATATTTAACTCTAAGTTTAGTTATTTTTACTTTTTTTCTCTTCTTAGCTTTGTTTGTAGCACTTTGACAAAGCTTACTTATTTTCATGTTCTTTTGCATTCACTTTTAAACTTCCTCACTCAGTCAGTTCATTTCCATAGGACACATTTCAAAGCGATTTGCAGGTCTTATCCTTTTCATAAGCAACCTTTATTGATCAACTACAACACTTCTACTTATTGCACGTGCACGTTTTTGCACTTTGTATATTTAAAAATCCCCCCAAAATGTAATTAATTCCAACCATGAAAACAAGTTTATCTAAAGCCTTTCCTAAAACCATAAACAAAAATGTGTTTTCTGTTTTCTTGCAGAGGTACTGTCTAAGGACTTTCAAATGTGACATATTACCGCTCCAACATTAGATGACTCCAAATATGATCATGACTTCACACAAGTGCTCCATAATTTTACTCCGGCCCGCCACTCCATGGATGTTTATCACCTTTTTATTGGTTCTTCTTCCTGGAGTCACTCATCTCTCCCACGGCAGCTCGAGCCATGAAGACATCAGCGACGCCCCGAAAAACTGCTCCAGCGAGGACAATTGTTCGGAGGGAGTGGTGCTGCCAATGTGGAACCCACAGAACCCTGCGGTCGGCGACAAGGTGGCCCGCGCCATTGTATACTTTGCGGCTCTCATATACATGTTCCTAGGTATGTCCATCATCGCAGACCGTTTCATGTCGTCTATCGAGGTCATCACCTCTCAAGAAAAGGAGATCACCATCAAAAAGGCGAATGGTGAAACCACGACGACCACTGTGCGCATATGGAATGAGACCGTATCGAACCTGACCTTGATGGCTCTGGGTTCCTCAGCACCAGAGATCCTGCTCTCTGTTATTGAAGTAGTCGGTCATAACTTTGAAGCTGGATCTCTGGGGCCTAGCACCATCGTGGGCAGTGCAGCATTCAACATGTTCATCATTATCGCCATTTGTGTCCACGTGGTGCCAGAAAGTGAGACCCGCAAGATAAAACACCTGAGGGTGTTCTTTGTCACTGCTGCCTGGAGCGTGTTTGCTTACATCTGGCTGTACCTCATCCTGTCTGTGTTCTCTCCTGGAGAGGTAGAGGTTTGGGAGGCAGTCCTTACCTTCCTATTCTTCCCCATCTGTGTTCTGCAAGCCTGGATTGCAGACCGCCGCCTGCTCTTCTACAAGTATGTCCACAAACGTTACCGGGCAGACAAGACCCGTGGCATCATCATTGAATCTGAAGGTGATGCCATGTTTACTAAAATGGACCTGGAGATGGATGGACAGGGTGCAAACTCACACAACAAGGATGCTCTGGATGGGATGCTGGAGGGGGTGGAGGAGGGTGGAGGCATGAGCGCCGAGCAAGACCAGGAGGAGGAGGCCCGTCGGGAGATGGCACGCACCCTGAAAGATTTAAAACAAAGGCATCCAGACAAAGATATGGAGCAGCTGATAGAGATGGCCAACTACCAAGTGCTGGTCCAGCAGCAGAAGAGCCGGGCCTTCTATCGTATTCAGGCCACACGCATGATGATTGGAGCAGGGAACATTCTGAAAAAACATGCTGCTGACCAGGCCAGGAAGGTAGTGAGCTGTCATGAGGCTAGCGGGCAGGAGGAAGATCCCAACACCATTTACCTGCAGTTTGACCCCTCTCACTACCAGTGCTTTGAGAACTGTGGTTCCCTGAAGTTGACGGTCAGTCGCCATGGAGGAGAGGCTGGCTGCACAGTTAAGGTAAGAATCCACAGCCAGTGACCTAGAGTCTTTCAGATTTTTGTCCTCTTAAAACCACACATATCACTTCGCCTTGATTGGTATTTTATATGTTAGAATATTGTTTCTCAATGGAAGAGAGAGGTAATCTTATTATGGCAATGTTCTGGGTTCAGTTTAGGATTCTTTGCCTCATTAGCTAAGGCTCACCAAAGTGTGCAACCAGTTGGCATCCTGGTTCTACTTATTGCTTTAAATCCTCCGGTGTTCAGTGCAAGCTCACTATGAATCCAGGTAAACTGTGAAGGCCTACGAGTTTTGTCTAGAGAGCATTATTAAACAATCAGCCTCATGAAGAAACAACCAATTGCTAACTTTTCCTCCCACCCAAACTGACAGGTTGGAGAGAAGAGCTTTAATCAGAAAAGCAGCTAAGAAAACCAAAGCAGTTCCAGAGGATCTGCATAGATGCAGCTGTCCACAGAGCAACTGTTAAAAATGTTGCCTTTACAGATGCTTTGAAATATAAGACTATTTTATGTCTGCCACAATTCATTAAACAGTTTCAGTATAGCTGGGTGAGGGACTTCTGGTCAGATTACCATGTTTTCTGGGTGGTATTAATTTAGCCAGTTGAGAATGAGTAGCAAGCATCAAAAATTAATACCAAAACATTATCTCCTGATAGTATGACTGAGGTTAAGGATTTTTACAAATTCAAGCAAGTATTGGTTCACAGCATACTAAGGCAGATTAACTGCAGGCTATAGTTTGAGATAGGAAGTTGCAGAAAGCAAATTAGTTTTGATGTCAAAATCTTCTAAACTTTCAGCGTTATTTTAAAACCAGCCATAACTGCTTAACTAATTAAATATTAACAATTCAGCATTTTGCTCAAGCTCCACTCACTAAATATTTAATGAAGTTTCTTCACTGTGGCACACAGGTGGACTACAGGACTGAGGATGCCACAGCCACTGCAGGCTCAGACTACGAGTTTGCTGAGGGCACTTTGGTCTTCAAGCCTGGCGAGACTACCAAAGACTTCACCGTAGGAGTCATAGACGATGACATCTTTGAGGAGGATGAGCACTTTTACGTGCGCCTCAGTAATCCCCGTATTGTCCACCGGGCTGAGGTCTCCATCCTGGAGCCCAACTCCATCACCTCCAGCAACAGCACCGTTGGCATCTCCTCACACGTTCCTCCAAAGGCCGCCCTAGGGAACGCTCCAGTCGCCACAGTCACCATCTACGATGACGACCATGCTGGCATTTTCACGTTTGAGAGCAGCTCCACCAGGGTGAGCGAGAGCGTCGGCAACATGCAGGTAAAGGTGCACAGGACGTCCGGGGCTCGGGGGAAGGTGGCTGTGCCTTACCATACCGTCGAGGGCACCGCCAAAGCTGGGGAGGACTATGAAGAGGTCTCCGGAAAGCTGGAGTTTCAGAACGATGAGACCATGTGAGCACAAATTCCTCTATTTTTGTCAATGCTGTTGCTCCACATCAATTCATTAAACATCACAGCCCACACAGTTAAGCTAAACAGTCCTTGCAGATTATTTTACAAAGCCTATTCTGGTAACGGATGCAGTGGCTATTTTTATGAGTCACAGATACCTTAGCTTGGAGAAATTTAGATCTTTCAGGGGGGGAAGAGGTGGGAGGATAAGAGGATATAGTTGTGCCACAGATAATGAAACAGTGTAGCAGATGTAGAAGAAGAAGAATTAGAGGCAGAGAAAGAGCACTCTGTGAACGAACAGAGGATTAAAAAGGCAGCCCGTTGGGATTTCCGCTGAGTGTCTGATGTTTCATTGTGATCCTGCATGATAGACGTCCCTGCAGAAAACAAAGGAAGAGCATGTGAAAATAGGAAGGATGAAAATCAGGAAAAGTGACTCTCAGAGACAGGGAGGGTTGAAGAAGCATCACAAACAGGTGCGTGAGATAATACCTGTGTGATTAATCCAACAAGAGATAAGAACAGAGGATCACACAGAAAGATTGTGCAACAAGCGAGCTTTGGGTCTGATGTTCTCCTGCTTTAAGTGTCTGGGTTGGCCCAGTGCTACAGTTAAAACCATATAATAAAAAAACACATGGCTTTTGCTTCCTCACTGACATTAATTTGAACTAAATCAAGGCTGTTTGAGGTTTTGGAAATCATAAAATAATCAACATTTTCTTTAGAATTCCATTAGATGCACTTTTGACACTGTATGTTTGAATATTCCTTCACTAGCTTCTTACTATATTATACTGGTAATTTGATTAATTCTGCCTGATAGAACCAATGTAACTAAGTTAGGCTCATGCTCCAAGGCTTTCCCTTAGAAAGAACATAATATATCTGAAACAACATCTCGAAAATACTGACTCCAACATATTTGATTAACTTTGTATCCAAGGTGTCGTGATATATATATGTATATACTGGTGTCCTCTAAGATGAGTGAGTGGCATTAAAGTACATGTTAGTACGTAAATGAATACTCAGAACTTTTAAAATGTTTATGTGAATTTAGAGATTTAAATCAAAATCAGAACAAATCTTTTTTTTTATGCATACACACCGTACAAACTTCATGCATACAAACACGGCAGCTGACATTAAAAAAAATTTAATATATGATTTTATAAATGTAACAATGACATATAGCATCAAATTAAAGTCATTTTATATCCTAGGAGGCATTGTCCATGGGGGGCATGGGTGTTGTTAATGAGGCTGCCTGCAGATGGGTAGAAAGTAAAGACAATTATTTAACTACCCTTGAGCATATTTAAGAGATTTTTCTTTTGGTAATCCACACTGACTGAAAATGGAAAATTGGATAACATTTAAAGGTATTGTGGAGGATTTTGCAAATCTTTTAAAAGACCCGCCAAAAAATGCACATGCACAACCCTTTACCTACCCCTGAGAGGAAACACCCATTAAACTAATACGAGAGAATGCACAAGTCCATTTCTGCTCATGTGCGCTCTGTTTACAAGTTACTGTTCTTATAGCTCATACAAGCTTACTGTGTCAGAACGTCCGCCCTAACCCATAAATCCTTTAATCACTATATAGAGCGGGGACTATATAATGTACTTTATAGTGAACTCAGTTAACTTACCGTTTGGACAGATGATCACTACCTTTTGCTCCCCGGTGGTCATGTAACTTCTCCACTGTACGGTGCCTACGCCATATTTGTTGTTAGTCGCCGCTGTCGAGTAACAACAGCCTACGACGATAGCAGGCCCCTGTGACCGCAAATCCCATAATGCTTTGCGAGGAGAGCTCTCAACGCAAAGCATCCCGGTATATATCTGCCTCTTCTGAGGCCTTTCTTTTCTTTTCACACACTTCGTAGTCACTTTTTTTCTTATGACCCTCTGCCATTTTCAAAGAACCGTGCTAAGAAAGGTGAGCTTAAATGACCATAGCTCACCACAGATATATGCCTGAAAGTGCACATGCGCAGAAAAAGATAGCTACAGTAACGGGATGAGCACGTAGGACTGCCTTACGTAAAGATATCACCAGAATAATTGAAAATTAGGAGGACCACTTATTTAGTTGATCCACCCAGAAATAAAAGATTGTCCTCTATACCTTTAATGTCAGACAGTGAGAAACAAACTGTTTAACTGTAACTACATGTGTTCTGTTTATGACTGCACAAGCAAAAAACTCTTTCTCTGTTTTTTTCTAATTTTAAATAGAAACAGGAACTTCAAACATGTCAAGCTCATATCAGAGCAAGTTACAGCTCACTGGAGGACAAAAGAAAAGAATAGAATGCGTCTGAGCGAGGAGAGTTTAGGGGCCGTGTGTAGGTGGATGGTGTGGGTCGGCTCGAGTGGGAGGGAAGCCAGGTGAATACATGGTGTCAGAGAGAAAACAGAGCTCACCTAATTCCTCTTCTTCGCCTCGCAATGGAGATGAAATATGCACAGCTTACGCTGTATGATTGTACCTTTTTATTTGCTTACAATTTGCACTATACTTCGGGTTCGCAATCAAGGGCATACTTGTGCTCTGAATCCACTTTAAACCTGAAACATCAAATAAAATGCCACTCCAAAGGCAAATTAAAAAGGAACTTCTTTGGCATCCAAAGCAATTAAAGATGCTGATGAGGGATCGAGAGAGTCCCAAAAGTTCTGAGCACACTGCAGACGGTTTCAGAGGCTGCAGATAATGAGTCAGGAGTGTATAACAATGTAAGATTAGAGTTAGGCAGCTTGTATCTGAAATCAAACATGAAGATGAGCTAAGGATTAAATCTTCAACTACTGAACCACGATCATCAGGCTACAGCAAGCCTGCAGAGACACAGGCATAAGCCTTATTTATGTTGGAGTCATGCTTACTTCAGCAGTTGGAAAGATGACGGAGTGCAAGATCAAGCAGTGAAGGACAGTTTGCCATCAGAAGCTCATGAGAAGAATTCAAGTTGCATATGTCAGGGGAAATGCCCAAGCTGTGCTCAGCTTTTCCTATGCTCCTCAGATTAAAAGGCAAAGCGAGGACGCACAGGCAAGCACCAAGGCGAATGTACTTTGATCATGAGTGGAAATCTATGATTAAAATCCCCAATGTCAAGAGCCTGGTCTAATGAAGCTTGCCCCATTAAGGAACAAGATCTTGATTAGGAGAGAGCAGAAGCTGATGTCCAGAAAATGTGAGTTTTCCCTTCAGTAAATAACAAAAGGGGAATGAACAGGAATTAATAGCTTTACTGTTTATAAGTATTTACTGGGGGCTGCAAAGTGTCACAGCGGGTAGAACTGCTGCCTTGCAGATAGAAGGACTGCTGCCTTGCAGATAGAAGGTTCTGGGTTCGATTCCCGGCCCGGGGTCTTTGTGCGTGGAGTTTGTATGTTTTCCCCTGAGCATCCATGGGTTCTCTCCAGGTAGTCCGGCTTCCTCCCACAGTCCAAAAACAGTGACTTTTAGGTTAATTGGCTATTCTAAATTTGACCTGTCCAGGTTGTACCCTGCCTTTCACACATTGCCAGCTGGAGATAGGCAACAGCACCCCTCGCAACTCCGGCAGTGATAAGCGTGACAGACAATGGACTTATTTACTGTATTTAAACTCAATGATAATTTTGACATTCTGTCACATTTCAAACACAAATTTTGATGTTTGCACAGGGAGACCTATACAATACTCCGAAATTAGACCAACTCAAAATATAGCATGTTTTCTATCGAAAACATGGTGGTGGTAGTATTATGCTGATTGGCTGGATGGTACTTAACATGCAGTCAGAGCTGGGATGAAAAGAGTCATATCAAAGCATTTTCATGTGTCTGAATGGCTCAGTGCAAAGCTACATCTGACTGAGAAGGTGGCAAGACTGGGATATTGATTTTCACAGGTTCTCCCCATCGGTTCTCATTGACCTTCAGCTACAGTATCTTGTGAAAAGAAAAGCCAAAAGATGTTAGGTTTGTGATAAGCAGAGTGGTTTAAAGGGTAGAGATGGTTGCTGTAAGGCTGCGGTATAGACTATGTATGATTCTAATAAAACATAAGCCCTTCAGCTTGGTTCTTTTCATGAAATGTCTGCATGCATTGTTTTCCTGCAACTATATGGTTAAGTTTTTCCTGTTGGAAAAACAGCCTGTCACTGGATTAGGAGATCCAACTGTATTTTGGGTTCATATCTAATTGTTTAAGTTACTCAATGTGGGAAGAGAGTTGCATTTTCTCTGCTGTAAATGTGAGTCTGTGGTGCTTGCTGCTCAGCAGGCTGCCAAAGTTCATGTTTCAAACAGAGCTGGCTTTTCTTACCCGATATTTCCCAAAGCCATCGGGACAAAGAGAAGACACTAAGCAGCAGGCCTCCGGGGCCCCTCCCCTCTGCATGTGTGTCTCAGGCTTTCTGCGTGTTCTTTTCTGTGTATGTCAACATTTGAACACAAAGAGGAGAAGGAAAATAGCCAAGTTTCTGAGCTTTTGATCATGAGCCAGGATGATTTTAGAGAAATAAAATTTATCATCTGAATGCGTCTCTGCATAAAATAGATTATTTTGTACAGACACAAACCTCCAAACTGAAATAAACAGACTGCGACATGGAAAACCATTTTGATTCTTATTTGTGGATTACTTTAATAATCTGCATAGACACTTTGAAGCTTGCATGCAGCATAAGCTTGCATCTAGTTTTTGTGTGCCACCTCAGAATGTGCAGCCATACACTCTAGTCAGGGCTGAAGTGGGTAATCGGAGCAATTACATAAGCAAAGATGAAAGAAATGTGGCGGGTTTCACTTCTTCAAAGTTGAGATGGTCTGTCTTGCTCACATCCAATGTAGTCTCGATCAATAAAGCTGTAAACCTTTTCTTAGCAAACAGATAATATGGAAGCGGCACAGTAAAGGTTGACTAAAAGGTTCAGGGCAGCTGCTTGCAGCTCACAAATCATGTTTCTTCCAGTCTCATTAAGGGAGAAGAAA